GTCTCATTGGGTGAGCACTCACGAAACGCAAGACCCTTCTTCAGCCTAGAAGGGGAGCTTGTTCTATAACTAAAGAAGACCGGCAGAATTGTTGTGACTTCTAGAGAAAGCTCAGCATCAGCCTGCCCTCATGCGCCTGATTTTCTGGTTTGTGATAATGATGACTCGCGCATGCTTCATTTCAAGCCATACATTGCAAATGTGAGATCTTATGGGTGCAGAGTGCATATGGTCGTACTTCTAACCTCACCTCATAGCTTCATAGATTAGTTGACGAGTATGTAAATTAATCTGAATATCTTTAGTTATATAAAAAAAAATGTAAAAATCAAAACTGTTTATGATAATAATTAAATCTAAAACAAATGTGGGATAATTATAGAGAAATTAGTGTTTAACTGTTTATGTTTTTACTATTCATCAAGATATATATATCATTATGAATTGAATCGTGTAATAATATAATTTTCTTTGTTAAAAACAAATCTTTGTATTTTTCTTAGCGGCTATCAGCACCACCTAGCGATGCACCACATAAAAACCATCAATTTAAATTTGTAGTCCATATTTATGGAGTGCATCACTCTTAAAAATGTATGCCAAACACACCATCAGTGACTGTGATCATTGGTGGACAAGCGATTTAACGTCAGCAGCATTAACAGTTTTTGGGTTCCAGGCATGGAACTAAGTTAATTTGCTATAAAATAAATACGGCACGACATTGAAATTCCCTAAGAGGCAGCCCTTAACCCCCGAGCAAATAAGTATCAGTTTAATTAAGAGGATAAAGAAAAATTCTTAAGATCTTGGTACAGCATATTGAAACCTAGAATGAAAAGGTAATCTGACAAAAAAAAACAGCTAGACTAGACAGTTTCAACTCCAGTGGGATGTGCTTGATCAACTTCTTCATTCTCCCCTGAAATCTCCTCTAAGGATCTGCCTTTTGGCTCAGGAACCAAAAATGTCAACAGAAAGCCAAGTACATTCATCATGCCAAGCACCATTAGAGAGTTTTTCATCCCAATACCTGCTGGATACCCTGGATCAACCTTGGACTTGTCCTGATTCTGTGCTGCATACAAGAACCCAAAAGCCCCTATTACTGCGCCAGCCTTCCCAGCAGCTGCTGATATTCCATGGCAAGTTGACCTGAACCTCGCAGGGAAAATCTCCGCTGGTACTATAAACGTAGTGCTATTAGGCCCAAAATTTGCAAAAAAGAAGGTAAGTCCATAGATGACTACGAAACCAATGTTGTTTTCTTTTAGAGTCCAGTGGTGATAAGGAATGGCCAATACAAACATGAACACGGTCATGAAGAAAAACCCGATCAGCTGAATTGTGAAACGACCTATATAATCAATAAGAAAAACTGTGAACCAGTATCCTGGGACTGTGCCGCAGAGTGCTATAAGGAATTGAGCCCTGGCGATCTTGAAAAGTTCTTCCATTGCATTCATTGTATTGGCCTTTAGGAGCTTTGTATACAGCACCAAAAGCTGCAGAAACAGCCATAGCCACAACACCGCCAGCAAGAATTCCAAATCCTTGCATAGCAAAAACAGCCGCAATAAAAGCCCCACGAGTCTTCTTGTTAGAGTATTCAGCCATTATGGTTGCCGAGAGTGGATAGTCTCCTCCGATCCCGAAACCGAGCCAAAACCTAAAGAAACACAAGGTAGCCATGACTGTTTTCGGAGAACTCCCAAAAGAAAGGCCAGAACCGATGGAAGATATCATCATGACCAAAAGCGTGATGCCAAAGACACGCTTGCGACCAAGCTTGTCACCGAGCCACCCAAAGAAGAGTTGTCCAGCAAGAGTTCCACATAGTGCTACGCCATTAACAGCAGCGGCTACATTAGGGGGCAAAATACCTGGTTTTGGTGATCCTTCAACCTGGTAATATATGCGGCCAAGTAGTTTGGTCACCAAAGAGATGCAAAAAAGATCGTATGCATCCGTGAAAAATCCCATGCCGGAGATTATCACAGCTTTGACGTGGTAGAGCTGAGTTTTCGCATGGTCTAGCTTTAGAAGAAGATCAACCTGCCCTTTGGCGGCCATGGTTGAGGTTCCCCTGCGTTCCTGATCTGAAACTTTATGCTGAGAGCTCCTTTTCCAAACCGAGTTTGATATATTTATAGAATGGGGAATCAAGCGTAATGGTCCTAGCAGGATACGGTTTATGTGTCCTGGGAAGAGTCGGAGTTCAATGTCCACCAAAGATCTACTCCTTCTGTCTCTCGATTCTCCGAGATTTCAGTAGATAAAACTTCTTCGGTTCCCAATGAATTTAACGAGATTCTTCACGAGAAATACTTCTTTTATGCCAAAAAAATGAAAAATAAATTAATTGTAAGTTCTCAAGAAAAAATAAATAAAAAGCGTAGAGGGACTCGCCATGGCGAATAATATTTTAGTTCGAGTAGGGAATCAGGAAAATCACTGTGTACAGTGAAGCAGTGTAATTAAGATTTTGTCCTTCATTATTCTTAATAATTATTTTGGTATCAGGGGCAAAATTATATTTTTCTTTTATAAGATTCAAATGTGATTTCAGAATTGATTGGGCAAAGATTTCGTTCCAAATTAAATGCACGATGAAAATATTCTTTTGCCTTTTGAAATCAAACAAAAAAACTTTCAACTTGGGGTTTCTTTTATTCTTTATTTTTAATTTGCAAAGTGAAATAACATTTATACCCTTGAGTGTTTAGAAAAAAATAGACTTGAAGAGTTTATTAATTTGTTTTTTCTTTATTTTTGTACTGAAAAATTATTTTGTTGATTTTTAATTTTTTGAATTTAAAGCTTAGCTTATAACGGCATTTTGATCTTTGTACCAAGGTTTCTTTATAATAATGGTATGCCCTTTGATAATTTTTTTTTAATTTATTTTATTAAAACATTAATAAATCAGTAAAATATATTGACATGTGTCATATACACATATCATCTTGTCAAGGTACTTCACGTTATTCTAAAGATACATGTAGCTAAGTATGATAGCAACTAAATCAATCATTGTCTCAATCGATACACAAAAATATAGTGCACTTGCTAGAGTGGTGCATGCTCCATAATGAGTGGTGTTTTGGTGGTGATGAGGTTTTTTCTCATACCCTTGGTTTCTCTTTCTTAGATTCTTTTTTTTTTTTAATTTTATCCCTAAATAGTTTCTTTCAATTACTTTTAGTGCAAGATTTGGTCCTCATTGTTTATTTAAAAAAAAAATTAAATTGAGGATTTTATTTTTAATTATTTTTGTCTTTTACAGGGTTATCACATTCTCATGACCTAATTCACTAGTTTCAATGATTTACCTAGTTTGACTTCGATATTTTTTAAAATTCTTTTAGAATTTTTATTTTTATTATTTGACATTGACTTATTAATTTGTTTTTATTTTTATTTTTATCATTTGACTTTGAATTATTGGGCTATAAGCTTTGTGATTTGTTTAGCTTTTCTTTTTGTCATGTTATTCCTATTTTATATCTCGATAGCAGGTAGATCAAATTAAGTCTCTATGTTTAGTCCAAGTATAGAATTTAATGATTCATAAGTTTAAAAGATTGAGTCCAATTAATAAAGTTGACTAGGACACAAGTTTCCGTGATTTTGTTTTGCTTTTTTAAAAGCTTTTTGTTTCCATCCTTTACCATTTTGTTATTATTTTTATTTATTTTTTATGAGATTTTTGTGGTGAATTTTAAAAATCCATGGGTGGCCTTGCTTTTTTTTTTTTTAGAATTTTAAAAATCCATGGGTGGCCTTGCTTCTTCTTTTTTTTTTTAACTTAGTTAAATTTAGATTTTCTAAAGGAATTTTGTTTTTGAATTGAATTGAATTAAGTGATTTTATCATCCAACATTTAATTTTTTAGGTGTTGAGCTTTTAGAATGAAACCCGTTCAAGAATTTAATAAATTACAAGTTTAAAATTTTAATCCAGGTTTACAAGGTTTGCATCATTTTAATATTTTTTTTTCTCCGATAAAAAATATAGTTTGCCCTATTTTGGTTTTTTATTAATTTTATTGATTTCATCCCAGGCATTTAATTTAATACAATACTTGAAAGAAATTTTTTTGAAATTTTTTGTTGAAATTAGTATTTTTTGTTTATTCACCTTTTTTTTTTCTATTTAGTTATTTTAGTATTATGTCTCGAGTCATGAGTTTGACAGGTTTATTATGTTTGGCATGATCATTTTTTTCATTGATTTATAATATTTTTGGATTTCAAGTCAATAATCATAATCTTGGATTTTTTTTCTTAAAAAAATATGCATTGTCTTTTCTATTATAATAGATCTGAGTGTTGTGCTAACCACCTATCAAATAATGATTTTCTGCTTAATTCTACTTGTGGGTTGTGATGATTTTATTTGGTTTTGCTAATGCTTTGTTTTTTAATATTTTTTTTATTAATTTTTGTTTTATAATTTTATCTTTCTACATTTTTATTATAAGGGATTGACAAGCATTATTTTTTTTAATTTTTTTATGATATCAAGTTGTTGATTTTTTTTTGTTCTTGAAAATCTAATAATAACACTGGAACATCATTTTTTTAGACTGCAGAAAACAATCAATCTACACCACAGCAAAGTCCGCCATCTATGAATAAACCGCCACCACTACACAGCCCACAGGAGGCAGTAAGGCCGAAGAGAAAGCCCAGGCCTTAATTGACCTAATTTGGAAAACATGCAAGGAAATCAATCATTACTGTGCCAATCCAATAAAAGGAACTAGAGAGTGGTAAAAAATACACAAACGTGAGAATACGAGAGACAATAATCGAATCGATAAATATCAATAGATTTTAGAAAAAGATGCCTCTATTATTCTAATGATAATTGCTAGCAAACTAACTGGCCTTTATCGCCACCCAAAAAGGGTACTTAACTCCCACATAAATATTTTGCATTGCAGCATCAATCATTGAAATATCGAAGTTCAGGCTGCTATTCCCACACAAAAGGGGTTATTTTCTCTTCAGCTTCTCCTTCTTCCTCTCGACTGCAGCCTTCAGAGTTTCTTCATCTTTGCAGAAGGTGAATCTCACCAAATTCTTTCCATCTTCCGGGTTCAAGTAAAATACACTTGTTGGGATTGCTACCACCCCGACTTCCTTGATCAGATACTCACAAAATGCAATATCATTTTCCAGGCCGAAAGGGGTGTGATCAACAACGACAAAGTAGGTCCCACTTGATGGAAATACTTTAAAACCAACAGCCTTCAACCCCTCAACCAAGATTTCCTTCTTTGCCATGTAATCCCTCTTTAGCTCAACATAGTAGGATTCTGGGGCTCTGAGAGCAAATGCAGCCGCCCACTGCATTGCATAGGAGTGGAGGTAGCAAAAGTAAGGAAAGAGTGCGCCTGCCGCACTCCCCATGTCAAGTAAGGAGGCGCTATTGCCAGCCAATTTTCCATCCTGTCATGGAGAATGTCTTCCCTAAGGAATTCAAAGTCACAGTCCGTTCATACATTTCTGGAAGGGGGGCCATAGAAATGTGATCTGTTTCGAAAGCCAATTTATCATAAACTTCATCAGTGAAAACTAGTACATCATTCTCAATGCAAAGTGATGCGATAGTACCAAGCTCCACCCTAATAAACATCTTTCCAGTTAGATTATGTGGAGTGCTGATGAGAATTGCACGAGTATTCTTTGTGATGGCTGATTTAAGCTCGTCAATGGGAACAGAATAGGCTGGTGGGCAAAATGTGATGCCCTTTATCTTGGCACCAGCCATTGATAATGCTAGGAAATTAATTAATTAATACTTGGAAGAAAGAATTCTTTTGGAAGTAGACCTCTATCAGGCCATATCTCATTGGCTGAGCACTCACGAAATGCAAGATCCTTCTTGATCAGCCCAGAAAGGAGTTTGTTCTCTTACTAAAGAAAACTAGCAGAATTGTTGTGACTTTCCACGCAGGGCTTCAATAGAGAAAGCTCAGCAGCATCAGACCGCCCTTATGCGCCTGATTTTCTTGTTTATGATAATGCATGGAGCGATGATGACTCGCGCATACTTAGTTTCAAGCCATCCATTGCAAATGTGAGATCTTATGGGTGCAGAGTGCAGATGGTACTTCTGTCACTATTTCGTCCCCGACTTACAAAACTAAACATGCGAAAATCAAAGCTGTTCATGATGATAATTAAGTCTAAAGGAAATGTGGGATAATCTAGTAAAAAGGTTTTAGAACATGTACAAACCTTTGTATTTTTCTCAGCGTCAGCACCACCAAGCGGCGCACCACATAAAAAAACATCAATTTAAATTTTTAGTGTGCTTTTGTGTAGTGCATCGCGTTGTACACCGTGCAAACAATCAAACTCTTAAAAGTGTAGAGTATTTTTGGAGGATGTAGAAAAAAAATATGTGACAAACACACTATCAATAACTGTGACCATTGGTGGACAAGCGATTAGCTGCCTTAAACAGTTTTTTGGTTCCTGGCATGGAACAAGTTAATTTGCTATAAAATAAACATGGCACAACATTGTTTTCTTAGCTAGAAGAACAGAAATAATAGGATTTGGAAATGCATGTCATGCGGATTAAATCTCAGCGCTTGCGATTCTAGTTTATATCGACGTTAATTAATCATGGATTGGAGGTTTTCTTAATTAGATTATTTTCATCTGAGATGCAGCATTGAAATTCCCTATTTGGAAACCCTTAGCCTCAGAGCAAATAAGTATCAGTTTAATTAATAGGATAAAGAAAAATTCTTACGATCTTGGTCCAGCATACTGAAACCTAGAATGAAAAGGTAATCTGAAGAAAAACAGCTAGACTAGACAGTTTCAACTCCAGTGGGATGTGCTTGATCAACTTCTTCATTCTCCCCTGAAATCTCCTCTAAGGATCTTCCTTTTGGCTCAGGAACCAAAAATGTCAACAGAAAGCCAAGCACATTCACCACGCCAAGCACCATTAGAGAGTTTTTCATCCCAATACCTGCTGGATACCCTGGATCAACCTTGGACTTGTCCTGATTCTGTGCTGCATACAAGAACCCAAAAGCCCCTATTATTGCGCCAGCCTTCCCAGCAGCTGCTGATATTCCATGGCAAGTTGACCTGAACCTCGCAGGGAAAATCTCCGCTGGTACTATAAACGTAGTGCTATTAGGCCCAAAATTTGCAAAAAAGAAGGTAAGTCCATAGATGACTACGAAACCAATGTTGTTTTCTTTTAGAGTCCAGTGGTGATAAGGAATGGCCAATACAAACATGAACACGGTCATGAAGAAAAACCCGATCAGCTGAATTGTGAAACGACCTATATAATCAATAAGAAAAACTGTGAACCAGTATCCTGGGACTGTGCCGCAGAGTGCTATAAGGAATTGAGCCCTGGCGATCAGGAGCTTTGTATACAGCACCAAAAGCTGCAGAAACAGCCATAGCCACAACACCGCCAGCAAGAATTCCAAATCCTTGCATAGCAAAAACAGCCGCAATGAAAGCCCCACGAGTCTTCTTGTTAGAGTATTCAGCCATTATGGTTGCCGAGAGTGGATAGTCTCCTCCGATCCCGAAACCGAGCCAAAACCTAAAGAAACACAAGGTAGCCATGACTGTTTTCGGAGAACTCCCAAAAGAAAGGCCAGAACCGATGGAAGATATCATCATGACCAAAAGCGTGATGCCAAAGACACGCTTGCGACCAAGCTTGTCACCGAGCCACCCAAAGAAGAGTTGTCCAGCAAGAGTTCCACATAGTGCTACGCCATTAACAGCAGCGGCTACATTAGGGGGCAAAATACCTGGTTTTGGTGATCCTTCAACCTGGTAATATATGCGGCCAAGTAGTTTGGTCACCAGAGAGATGCAAAAAAGATCGTATGCATCCGTGAAAAATCCCATGCCGGAGATTATCACAGCTTTGACGTGGTAGAGCTGAGTTTTCGCATGGTCTAGCTTTAGAAGAAGATCAACCTGCCCTTTGGCGGCCATGGTTGAGGTTCCCCTGCGTTCCTGATCTGAAACTTTATGCTGAGAGCTCCTTTTCTAAACCGAGTTTGATATACTTATAGAATGGGGAATCAAGTGTAATGGTCCTAGCAGGATACGGTTCATGTGTCCCGGGAAGAGTCGGAGTTCAATGTCCACCAAAGATCTACTCCTTCTGTCTCTCGATTCTCCGAGATTTCAGTAGATAAAACTTCTTCGGTTCCCAATGAATTTAACGAGATTCTTCACGAGAAATACTTCTTTTATGCCAAAAAAATGAAAAATAAATTAATTGTAAGTTCTCAAGGAAAAATAAATAAAAAGCGTAGAGGGAGTCAACCATGGGATATTCTTTTAGTTCAAGTAGGGACTAGGGTTAAGGCACATTAAAATAAAAAAAAAATACAGGATGGTAAAATTATATTGTAAAATTATATTGTTAACCTTTGACTTTCCCGATTTTAAGCATAGTTTATGAGGGTATTTCAGCCTTTACACTGTAGTTTTTTGTGTATTAATGGTATGTCTTTGGACCATTTTTGTAATTTATTTTTTAAATATTAATAAATTGATAAAATATACCGACATATAGCATGTGAGGTTCTCCACACTATTTTAAAGGTGCGTGTGTTCAAGTATAATGGTCAATAAAATCGATCCTTGTCTCAACTGATGCGCAAGAATATAGCACAACTGCTTGAGTGATGCATTAACCACATCGGGTGGCTGCAATGGGGTTTTTCCTCCTGCTCTATATTTCTCTTTTCTAGGTCTTGGTTTTCATGTCAGGCCTTGAAAAATTTAGTTATGTATCATTATGAATTTATTTTGAATTTTAATTTTTATTCTTTTGATTTTATTTGCTTTGATTTTAATACTGCTATAAGTTTATTTTTTCTATTTCATTTGTCTCTTCATTTAATTTAATTTGTTTTTTTGTTTAAATTGATCCTCATTTTTTTTTTATTTTTGTTTAAATTGATCCTCATTTTTTTTAATTTTTTTTTCATCCTTTTCATTTATTTATTTTTTATTTTTTCCTTTAGAATTTTAATTCATTTTTTTTTGAAATTTTAGTCCTTATTTTTTACATTACTTATTTTTTATCATTTTTTTCATTATTTTGTTTTCAATTTTATCCCTAATTAGTTTCTTTCAATTATTTTTAGTTTCATATTTGGTCTTTATTGTTTATTGTTTTAATTTTTTATAATTGAGGATTTTTTTTTGTCTTTTTTATTAAAATTTTTTATTCATTTTCTATGAGATTTTTATGGTCAATTTTAAAATAACACGAGTCACCTTGCTTTTAATTTTTTTGCTTCATTAAGTTTAGATTTTCTAAAGGCATTTTATTTTATTTTTGAATTGATTGATTTTATCATCTAACATGTAATTTTTTAGGTGTTAAGCTTCTCTATCATCTAACATGTAATTTTTTAGGTGTTGAGCTTCTCAGTTGAGCTCGGTTCAAGAATTTAATAGATTGTGAGTTTGAGAGTTTAACCCGAGTTTACAAGGTCTGCATCGTTTTGATATTTTTTTCTCCGATGAAAAATATAGGTGGCCCTATTTTGGTTTTTTATTAAATTTATTGATTGTGTCCATGACATTTAATTAGAGGCAATACTTAAAGAAATTTTGTTTTTTGAAATCAGTACTCATTGTTTGTTTACTTTTTTTTATCTATTTAGTTATCCTGGTATCATATCTCAAGTCATGAGTTTAGTAGGTTCACTAGGTTTGGCTCGATCTTTTTTCATTTATTTTTAGTATTTTTAGATCTTGAGTCAATGATTATAATTTTAGATTTTGTTTTTTTTATATAAAAATATGCATCATCTTGATATCTTTTAAGCGATAAAAAAAAATGATAAGTCCACAGCATTGCATGAGTCACCAATCAAATAATGATTGTTTGTTTGGTTCTACTCGTGGGTTTTAACAATTTCATTTGGTTTTGCTAGTGCTTTGTCTTTTAATACTTTTTTTCATTGATTATTTTTTCGTTTCATCCTTTTTTTTTTATTCTATTGGAATCTAATGATTATTAGAGTCCTCTATGTTATTCCAGAGGTATATGTGGCCAAGTACGATAGTCAAAAAAACTTATCGCCCTCTCATCTGATGAGCAAGGATGTGGCACGACTAGTGGAGTGACGCGAGCTCCATAACAATTGGTGGTTTGGCGGCGATGTGGTTTTTTCTCCTGCCCTTCATTTCTCCTCTTCTAGATCTTGGTTTTCATGCCAGGCCTTGAAAAAGCTAATTATGTCTTCCATTTTGATTTTATATTGAGTTTGATCTTCATTCTTTTAATTTTTATTTGTTTTACTTTTAATGTTTCTTGAAGTTTATTTTTTTCAATTTCATCCCTCTCTGCATTTAATTTTATTTGTTTTTTGTTTACAATCTAATCTTTATTCTTTTAATTGTAATTTTTTTTATCCTTTGCAATTTTTTTATTTTATCCTTTAGAATTTTAATTCATTTTTTTTTCAAATTTTAGTCCTCATTTTTTTCATTACTCTTTTTTTTTTGTCATTTTCTTCCTTTATTTTGTTTTCAAATTTATCCCTAATTAATTTCTTTTAATTATTTTTGGTACAAGATTTAGTCCTTACTGTTTTTTTAATTTTTTTTAATTGAGGATTTTGCTTTTTGATTATTTCTATCTTTTACAGGGTTGTCCCATTATCATGACCCAATTCACCAGTTTCAATGATTTACCTAGTTTGAGTTGGGTATTTTTTTTAATTTTTTGACATTAACTTATTAATTTGTCTGTCTTTTTCATTTTTATCATTTTACTTCAAGTTATTAGATCATGAGCTTTATGATTTGTTTAACTTTTTTTTTCTTGAGTTATCCCTATTTTATATTTTGGGTTGTATGTTGGTCAAATTAAGTTTCTAAGTTTAGTCCGAGTGTAAAATTTAACGGTTTACAAGTTTAAAAGATTGGTTTTAATTAATGAAGTTGACAGGGACATAGATTTTCGTGGTTTTTTTGCTTTTTTAAAAGCTTTTTATTTATATCCTTTACCATTTTGTTATTATTTTTATTTGCTTTCTATTCGTTTTTTTTTGGTCAATTTTAAAATAACACGGGTTGCTTTACTTTTAGGTTTTTGGCTTTGTTAAATTTAGATTTTCTAAAGGAATTCTATTTTTGAATTGAATTGATTGATTTTATCATCTAATATCTAATTTTTTAGGTGTTGAACTCCTAAGTTGAGCCCGGTTCAAGAATTTAATAGATTGCAAGTTTGATAGTTTAACCCTGGTTTACAAGTTTTGTATTGTTTTGATATTTTTTCTCCAATAAAAAATATGATTGGTCCTATTTTTCTTTTTTTATTAAATTTATTTATTGCATCCTTGGTATTTAATTTGAGACAATACTTGAAGAAATTTTGTTTTCTTAATTTTTTTTTTTTGAAATTGGTATTCTTTGTTCATTTACCTTTTTTTATTTATATATTTAGTTATTTTAGTATCATGTCTCAAGTCATAAGTTTATTAAATTCACTAAGTATGGCAGATCAGTTTTTTCATTGCTTTTTAATATTTTTGGATCCCTAGTCAATAATAGTATAATCTTGGATTTTGTTCCTTTAAAAAAAATATATATGCATCGTAACACAAGCCATTTATCAAATAATGATTGTTCGTTTGGTTCTAGTTACGGGTTTGACAGCCTCACTTGGTTTTGCTGATGCTTTGTTTTTTAATACCTTTTTTTCATTGAATTTTGTTTTCTAATTTTATCTTTCTACATTTTTATTATAGGGGATTGATAATAGGGGTGTTCACGGTTCGGTTTGGTTCGATTTAGATTCAAAAAACCAGCCGAACCGAATTATATTAATTTTATGAAATATTAACTGAACAAGACCAAAAACCGGTTTGGTTCGTTTAAATCTGGTTTTTTGGAAAAAAAAAACAAGGAAACCTAATCTCATCATCTAAACTCTCCCAAATCCCCCCCTCATAGCTCTGGAAACTCGAACCTTGACCCGCCAACCCAAAACTCCACCTAGTCCTTTAGCTCTCTTATCCGAACTTTAGCAATCAAATATGAATCCGTCATCAAAATTTTCAAGAAAGACCTAGAAGAATTTAAATCCGGCTTGAAAAATGAATTTGCCATTATCTACGATGTCGCTTCACATGCCGGCTATGATCTCCCCACTTTCTTCGAGGCTAGCGTTACCATTGCTTAGGAGTCTGTTGGACAAGCCATCGGTGGTATTGGATCCTCCATATGAAAAATCATTGTCCCATATGGCTAGAAAACATAAACTATTTCAATCTTTCACTGGAATTGATCAAATATGTGCCAAGTTTTCAGATACTTGAGATAAAGATGACTTCGAGCCTTTAAATGTCCATTGCCAATATTGTAAATAGTACAAGCAAAAGGAGATTGATATGTAAAGGGCATTTGATTTTTTTTATAGCTGTCCGACTACTTTTCGTATGTATATAGTTGCTTACCTATGTCAAGAAACTAGGAAAGAAAGATTGAGAATTAATTGATAGGAAAATTAGGAATTTATGTGGTCAAGGTAGGTTTTTTTTTTTTTATGAGAGGTTAGGAAAATTAGGAATTTATGTGGTCAAGGAGGTAGGTTTTTTTTTTTTTTTTATGAGAGGCAGGAAGGTTATGTTAATTATTAGGGTTAAGGTTGCAAGTTAACTATTTATACCATAATTTTTTGTTAATTGTTTAGTGGGTCCGGTTTGGTTTGATTCAGTTTTTGGTTCAAAACTAAAACCGAACTAGCCTTGTTAAAATTTATGGTTTTGAAAATTAGTTTAATCGGTTTTTTATTTCGTTATGGTTTTATCAATTAATTTTTCTTTGATTTTATCAATTTTATCGGTTAATCGGTTATTTTAAACACCTCTAATTCATAATCATTATTTTTTAGCATTTTTTTATGGTGTCGAGTCATGAATTTTTTTTTTCATTTTTGAAAATCTAATAATAACACTTGAACATCATTTTTTTAGGTTGTAGAAAAAAATCAACACGAACCAGCGAACCATCTATGAATAAACCGCCAAGACTACACAGCTCATAGGAAGTAGTAAGGTCTAAGTTAAAGCCCAGGCCTTAATTGACCTACTTTGGAAAACACATTTGGGCCATGTTTCTTTTCCATAAAGTAGTTTTTGAAAAACCACTTTCCAAACTTTTTCATGTTTGTTTGCCATTAGAAAAGTTGGTCAACGAAAAATACTTTCCGGTTAACGAAAAACACTTTCCGATCAAAGAGAAATTTAGCTTGGTTTTTAGGAAAGTGTTTTCTTTGTTGGCTATGTTTGTTTTCCGAAAAGTGATTTTCGAGAAATCACTTTCCAAACTTTCTTGTGTTTGTTTGCTGTTAGAAAAATTGATCAACGAAAAACACTTTCTAGTCTAAAGAAAATTTGGCTTGGTTTTTAGAAAAGTGTTTTCCTGAAAAATTTGGACAGAAAACACTTTCTGGAAGTTGTGAAAAATTTAGAAATGTCATTATTTGCTGATTATATCAAATTTAATCCTTAAACTTTTGATTGCTATATATATTTTTTTGTTTTAAATATTTATTTTTCAATTTCATCTCTTAAAATTTAATTTTTATATTAACTTTGGTTCTTATTTTTATAATTGCTATTTGTTTTTTCCTTATTATTTTTTTTATTGAAATTTTTTATTTATCAAATTTAGTCATCATTCTTTTGATTGTTACTTATTTTATTTGAAATAACTTATGAAATATTGATTATTATTATTTTAATTTCTTCATCTTTTATTTTTTTAATTTTTTATTTGATCTCTATTATTTTGATTATGATTTATTTTATTTGATCTCTACCAAACATTAAAAAATAATCACTTTCTCAAAATTTATTATTAAAAAAAAAATATTATTTTTCAGCACACAAATAGGACCTTAAACTTTACTAGTTTTCAAGACGTACAAGGAAATCAATCATTATTGAGCCAATCCAATACAAGGAACCAATGAGTGATAAAAATTCCACAAACATGAGAATACGAGAGACAATAATCAAATCGATAAAAATATCAATAGATTTTGGAAAAAGATGCCTCTATTATTCTAATGAATGATAATTGCTAGCAAACTAACTGGCCTTTATCGCCATCCAAAAAGGGTACTTAACTCCCACGTAAATATTTTGCATTGCAGCATCAATCATAGAAATATCGAAGTTCAGACTGCTAATCCCACCCAAAAGGGGTCATTTTCTCTTCAGCTTCTCCTTCATCCTCTCGACTGCAGCCTTCAGAGTTTCTTCATCTTTGCAGAAGGTGAATCTCACCAAATTCTTTCCATCTTCCGGGTTCAAGTAAAATACACTTGTTGGGATTGCTACCACCCCGACTTCCTTGATCAGATACTCACAAAATGCAATATCATTTTCCAGGCCGAAAGGGGTGTGATCAACAACGACAAAGTAAGTCCCACTTGATGGAAATACTTTGAAACCAACAGCCTTCAACCCCTCCACCAAGATTTCCTTCTTCGCCATATAATCCCTCTTTAACTCAACATAGTAGGATTCTGGGGCTCTGAGAGCAACTGCAGCCGCCCACTGCATAGGGGTGGAGGTAGCAAAAGTAAGGAAAGAGTGTGCTTGCCGCACTCCCCATGTCAAGTGAGGAGGCGCTATTGCCCAGCCAATTTTCCACCCTGTCAAGGAGAATGTCTTCCCCAAGGAATTCAAAGTCACAGTCCGTTCATACATTCCTGGAAGAGAGGCCATAGAAATGTGATCTGTTTCAAAAGCCAATTTATCATAGACTTCATCAGTGAAAACTAGTACATCATTCTCAATGCAAAGTGCTGCTATAGTACTAAGCTCCTCCCTAGTAAACATCTTTCCAGTTGGATTATGTGGGGTGTTGATGAGAATTGCACGAGTATTCTTTGTGATGGCTGATTTAAGCTCGTCAATGGGAACAGAAAAGGCTGGGGGGCACAATGTGATGCCCCTTATCTTGGCACCAGCCATTGATAATGTGGCTTCATATGAATCATAGAAAGGAGCAAAGAGGATTACTTCATCGCCAGGATTTATCAAGCCTAGCATAGTTGCAGCTATCGCTTCAGTGCACCCAGATGTAACAGTAATTTCTTTATCAGGGTCCACCACAAGCCCGGTATCTTTCTTGAATCGCTCAGCAATGGCAGAGTTGAGATCTGGAACCCCGTATCCACGAGCATATTGGTTCTTTCCATCTTTAATAGCTTGGATGGCGGCTTCTTTGACAAAGTCAGGACCATCAAAGTTGGGAAAACCTTGGCCAAGATTTATTGCTCCATATTTGATGGCAAGCGAACTCATCTGTGTGAAGATTGTTGTTTTGAACTTTTCCAAACGCTTTGCAACCTGCAGAAAGGCCAAAATATTAGAAGGAAGAAAGGGAATCCAAAAACAAAGATGCTGAGGCGTGTGATTTATTAACTTGATATGGAACTATTCACCAAACCATTGCAGAATGAAATCATTGCTTCATATGATGAATTGACGTAAACTGAAGGAATCCACAGTGCTTGACCAAATATTGACGGGTTCAGAGAAAAATAGGGCAATACATTTCAAGCCATGTATTACCACGATAAAAGTTGTGATTGGGTTTCAAGGAAGCACGGTGAAGGAATAATGTGTTTTCATTAGTTATCACAAAACTAGCTCAATTTTAGCTCCAACCAAAACAATTAACTCCAGTCTACCACCATAACTCTGATTTGAGCTCCAACCAAAACACAATAGCCCAACAAAACCAGAGGTTTAAGACTGCTCACCAACTTTGCATTGTGAGCCAAAGTCAAGGCAAATCTAATAGTTAAAGTTTTCCAACAATAACAACCCCCTGATTGCGCCCTAGCTAAAAAGCTCTCTTTTTTATGCTCCTCAAACCATTAACCATCATTCAAGCAAATTATTTGATTGGAAAACGAAGCTAAAAAGAAGGATAGCGAAAAAAACTACACAAAGATTCAAAATTGGACAAATGGTTAAACATAATCATAAAGCGATCTCGGCCCTAAATCTGAATTATTAAGCAAATTGAAAATTAGAGTTAATCACACAAAAAAATGAAAATAAAAACCCATATTGAAAATAAACTACGGGCGTACAAAATTAGCTAAGAGAGAAAAAAAAGGATTGGGGTACTTGTAATGGCTGTTGGGTCTTCCGCGTTGGGTCGTTTTGAGTGGAAAAGGCATCCTTCTGTGTCGTGGAAACGTAAGGTGAGGAGGCCATGAGAGAAGTGTAAGAAACGATTCCTCTCCTTGTAGAGCTAATAGAGGCAATGCTTTTTCTGTGGAGAAGCAGTTGCTTTGAAAATGAAAAGGTGGAGAATGTCGAGGGTTTAAAGCTCAGTGGCGTAGGCATTATGCAAGGCGTCCACGGACATTGACTCTGCATCACTACGTCAAAAGCTCTAGTGCCGTCAAAAGGGCTGCTACCTCTATTAAGGATTCATGAGGCCGCGATTTGCGTGATAAGAAATAAATAGTTATTTTATTTTATTTTATTACTTATTAGGGTACAATAATGTCTTTAGAATTTTTTGTTTTAGTTTATATATAGTTTTTTTCTTAATTTAGGTTAAGTTAAAAAAAAATGGGTAATTCATTTGCTTTTATAGTATCAATGAAACTATAACCTCCTCTTTTTAATTTCTTTAAATTATTTAACATAATATTAAAGCATATTTTCATAGAATAAATTTTAATGTCAAATAAAGCCTTTTCAATTACAAGTTAATTTAATATTTTTTGGAGTAATTATATAATTTCTTCAATTTCTACAATTTAATATTTTTTTGAATTATTTTTTTATTTGTTAATTATAATTACTAAAAGAAACAATTCACTTTAATTTATAAATGTGAGGTTAGATAGAAAAAATTGTTCGTATCAAAATTGTGTAATGATAAATTTTTATAAGAGTAAAAAAATATAGGAATATTTTAGCAGGATGCCTATGAAACCTAAAAATACTAATGAGGGTTATATAACTTTGATAGATGTTTGGGAAGTAAACAATATAAAGACCATTACTTGGATTAATAATTTTGCTGAGCATTCTATAAGTATATAGCTGGCAAAGTACGACACAAGAAATGAGATTTGGGATCATTTGTGAAGGTTATTTACTTAATCAAATTTTATAAAGTAGTATCAATTGGAGAAAAACATAAGAGAACTTCACTAAAAGAATATGAATATTTAGGAGTTTTATTATATTATGATAGATCTTTGAGATCAATTAACTCTTATAGAATCAGTAAAATTAAATGCATATGGTGTCTATATTAATCATAAAAAGCAGTGATGATTGATATAGTTTTTAACGATATTTCATAATGATTTTGAAAAACATAAAGGTTTAATTTTATATTGTTCTCTATTTTCTTCTATTGACTCAGTTATTAGTAAATTATTGACTGAAGAAATACATCTTTAGTCTTATTCTAAAAGGAGAATTTTTTTAACCTCTAATCCTTTTATGTAGCAGTATCTTTTATCATTCTTCATTAATAAAAATAAGCTTTATATAAGGGATGCTTTTGACGAGTATAATTTTTGTAAGCAAAAAAATCATTGAAAGGCTTGGTATCTTAAATTGAGACAACATAATCAAGTTTGAAACCTAGCAATCAATCACAACCTAATGTTCATGGACTATCTCAGGGTTACAAACCACTACTTTATAATACTGTAACAGTAGTCTCAACAAGTCTTTTCATTGATCCTGGTACTCTAGCTGAGCAATTTCAGAAGTTTTTTTCCTTATAGTCATAAGCTATGTCTATTTCTTCTTTCGTAGGTTAGCTACCTTATAGTTTTTAGGTATGTCATATTATAAATGAATTTTGGATTCTAGTGCTTCACATCATTTGTCTTTAGATTCTTCATCTTTTAATTTTGTGTCCCCTTTATCGTCTAATCATATCATAACTACAAATAGCACTCATATGCCCTTAACAAGTGCTGGTTTTGTTATCATTCCTCACTTGTCTCTCCCTAATATCTATCGTATTCCAAATCTCACATTAAATCTTGCTTTTGTTAGTTAGATATATGATTCTAGTGATTATTTACTCATTTTTTCCTTTTTTTTTTATTGTGTACAAGATTTGCAGTCTCAAAAGCTGATTGGAATAGGCCGTAAGGAGAAGAGACTTTATATTTTAGATGAGTTAAAAGTGCTAGTTGATGTTGCTGCTAGTGTTGATTTATCTTTTTTTTTTTAGTCCTTCTTTTTCTAATTTTTATTTATGGCATTCTCATCTTAGTCATGTTTTGTCTTCTCATTTGAGATTTTTAGTATCCACATGAGCCTTAGAGAATTTTAAACTTATGATATTTCTAATTATAGTAGATGTAAACTAGCAAAAATTTCTGTTTTAACTTTTAATCAAAGTATTTTTATTTCTTCTTCTCTATTTGATTTGATTCATTCTGATATATGAGGACCTTCTCCTGTTTCCATTAAAAAAGAGTCGATATTATGTTTATTTTATTAATGATAATACTTGTTATTTTAAGGTTTATTTAATGAAATATTATTTTGAATTCTTTGAGATATATACAACCTCTCGAACTCTTATTAATACATAATATTTTGATATTATCAAATGTTTTATGTGTGATTTGGGTGGGGAATACACCTCTAATAAATTTTATAAGTTGTTTACCTA